TATATATATTATTATTATATATATATATATATATATATATATATATATATATGTATATCATGATAAAGTTTAAATTATTATGAATTGCTAAAACTTTCTGAAATTTATATGTATATAATATATAAATATTCTTTTTAAATTATAATTTTAATATTGTCATTCAAAATTGTAATAATACGGGATTAAAGTAAAATTTGAATTCGTTATCATCTCATATTGAATCTATTAATAATTTTCTTATTATACTTTAATAAGAAATACAAAAATCATTTTTTAATCGTGAATGATTTTATGGCATCGCAAATTGTGTCGATAGTTCACTAATTTCATTGTCGATCACATGATACAATATACAATATAGAATTTTTATGTATTGGTGCAATAGAAGACATTTTTTATTACCACTACTAACTTTACAAAGTTTAGCAGTTAGATTGATTATATTTCTTAAATTCATTGCTTTAACTCATAGAGGATACGAAAGTTTCTTTTTACACGATCGGTATTTCAGTTTGTGTAATGCGAAGTTCTATAAGTTGATAGATCTATTCTATATTCTATATCTCGTTTTTGCTAATGCTATTTATTTAAATCGATCCGATATTATTCGTGTATAAAATTATAGCTAAAGATGCGTACAGTCGATAAAGAGAACTGGCAAAATGGCGATTATTAAGAGTTATGTTTAGTATCGCATTGGTTTTTCGTTTCAAGTTAAACGAATTGTTATTTTAATTGTCAGTGCAAAAAAGATACATAAAAAAATATGGGAAAAAATTACATGTGTACAGTGAATAGCCAAAAATTAAAAAATATCGATCGAACATGATTTTTGTAACATATTCAATCATACTCCGATTGATATATGTTTTGATATATGTGTGAGTTTTTCTATTTATGCATTGAATTTTAAATCACAAATACAAAAGATTATTCTTTTATAATGAAAAGAAAGTCACAATTTTATTAAAATTACATTAAAGTCAAAAATTCTATTCAAAACATATGTATACAATTTTTAATAACAAATAAAATAATAATCGAAATTTTACAAATGTATATAAACAATTTCAAGTATCTAACTTCCACTTTGAACACAGTGGATCTGAAATTTATAAAGAATGCTAAAATCTTTTATATTTTAAATTGTATTGAATATAAAACATTCAAATTTGATCAAATTGAAAATAAAAAATCATATTATGTAAAATATCATAAAAGAAGAGTGTATCAACAGTATAACCATATAACTGATCAAATAAATTTATAATCATGTAATCAAGATATTTATATTCAAGATATAATTAGTAAGTACAGAATAATATTTTTATTATATAAAAAAATACTGTAAAAAATACTAACATAACAATATAATATTAACAAACTAATATAACAATGTAAATATTTGTATATTTGAATAGTTTACATCATGGAAGATTATACTCCTATTGATGAAGATTTTCCTGGTCGTTTATTACACCAAGCTGCTTTATGGGATAATGCAGAATTATTAGAAGATCTTTTAAGAGGAGAGCATGCACAATATATAAATAGTCAAGATTCATGGGGTAGAACACCATTACATGCTGCAGCTATTACTGAAAATTCAAGATGTTTAGATGTATTACTTTTTGCTGGAGCAAATCCAAATATACCATGTGGACCCAGAGGTCATTATCGAACACCATTACATATTTGTGCAGAACACGGTCATAGTTCCAATATTGAAAAACTTTTAAAATTCAATGCTAGTCTAATGATTCAAGACAATAACGGTGAGAGACCATTAGATGTGGCTGAAGAAGCTAAGCAAGATGTTTGTATAAATTTGCTTAAATCAGCAGCTGAAAAATATGAATTGGCAAAACTTGCTGTACATGCTTCTTTGCGTGCGATATGTATTCAAGGAGATTTTGTGGCAGCTAAAAATATCATTCAAAATCATATGTCAGATTTAGATTGCATTATCAATATGGCACCGAATGGCGCAAATACTCTACTTTTTATAGCCAGTGAGATGGGTCACAAGGATATAGTTCGTTTGCTTTTAGATCATAGTGCAGATTGTAGAGTGCATCCTGTTACCAAATACTGTCCATTATATATAGCCTGTTACAATGGTAAAGTAGAAATAGTAGAATTGCTTCTTCGACATTTTCCTAAACAAGTACAATCTTTAACCGTTGAAAAATGGTTACCGATTCATGTAGCGGCTATAAATGGCCATCATTTAGTTATTGATTTATTATTAAAATTCGAATATCCACAACATACGTATCAACGCTACAAAGACTCATCCGGAGAATTTGAATACGAAATGCCATTTGATATCAATTCTCAAGATGTAACAGGACAAAATATTCTTTACATATCTAGTATGCTTGGAAACATTAAAATCGTAGAATTATTGCTGAATTATAAAGTAAAAGCGAGAAAAATTAAAGAGGAAGATATGGGAGTGGCGCAGCCACTTCCTATGTCGAAAAAAAAAATTTCAAGTGGAATACAAAGATTGATGTCTAGTTTGAATTTTAGAAGTAAAGCGTTCGATAAAAAGGATGACAATATGATATGCCCATTAAATTTAGATTTGTATTGCAACAATGCCACCGAAACTTCTTTACATGCAGCGGTGAAAGGCAAGCACACAGAAGTAGTTAGCGCTTTATTACTGGCAGGTGCTGATCCTAATTTGCCTGTGAAAGTTCCTTATGATCAGAACGATCCAGAAAATAATTACTCTAGCGCATTAATTATAGCTTGTCAACAACGTGACATAAAAATTGCAGATCTTTTACTGAAACACGGTGCCGTGGATAATACATGTAAAGCAATCAAAATTGCTGCACAAAACCGTGACGAAGCTCTTACAGCAAAATTATTGTCTATAAAAGCTTATCCTGATTCAGAATATAAAATCAATAAAAAAGCTATGACTGAATGTACTCAAACATCTCACTTTTCTGCATTATCCTCTTTTGGCAATGTCACATATTCGACACTATTTCCAAATACACCGACAATGATAAATTGGCATAATCAACAATGTCATCTCTCACAAATACGGGCTCAATGGTTAACAGATGCTGTGTTACATGTAAATAAAAAGCTGAGCGCTAAAAATAACGATTTGGTATTATATGCTATCACGAGGATAGATATTTCTCATAATTCCATCACTTCTGTACCATCTATTGTATTTTATTTACAAAGCCTACGGTATCTTAATATGGCTCAAAATAAAATAGATACTCTTACAGCTGAACCAAAAAGTTCTAAAGATAAATTGTGTCCAGTTTTAGAAGAGATGTATCTTCAAGACAATCGATTAGAGCAATTGCCGGAATTTATAATGAGTTTACCTACATTGGAGATTATGGATGTCTCAAACAATAAATTACAGTGTCTTCCGGATAATTTATGGCGAGCTCCAAAATTAAAAGAATTGAATGTTTCCTTTAATTTATTGAAGGATCTACCGAGTCAAGTTTCTCAAAATATTTCACGAAAAACACAACGGGAAGATTGTTTGAATAATAGTCCTAGCAGTCGAAGTTTAGCATCGCAATTGGCTATTTCTCGCGAAGATTCTTTAGAATTTGAGTCATTTACTAAAATAGCAAATGCACAAATCATAGAGATGGATCGACCTCATGTTTGGACCAAATCTGTTCAAGTATCGGAAAAAGTTTCAGATGATAACGAAGGAGGAGCAAGATCAGTGCTTACGTCCTTGAATTTGGCGCATAATTTATTCAATAGTATTCCAGTAGCTTTGCCATGTTTAGCTGTTAATCTAGTAAGATTAAACATGGCTTATAATTCTCTTCGATCCATGAGTCATATAACATCGTATCCAGCAAGTTTGAAACAATTAGATTTATCCAATAATCAAATCTCTCGATGGCCCAGTTTGCCACAAGTGGACGGTGCCGATTTGATGGAACAAGCAAACACTGCGTGCTATTGCCCTACAACGAACGTACAATCTCCAATTGTTCCGGGCAGCAACAGACAAACAGCTACGTCTTTGCGTGACGTAGTTCTCATGTCGGTTTGCACGCATAGACGTCATTTACGTTTAGAAAATTTAAGAACGTTAATTCTTGCTAACAATTTATTGAACAGAATACAATTGACGTCGGTCGATGATGGAGAAATGCCAAATCTAGAAGAAGAGAATGTAGATAGGGATACAAAAACTAATTATTCTGGTTCAAAATTATATCTTTTGTTCCCTAATGTTAGCATGCTCGATGTTAGTAACAATAAGTTGAAAGAGATTCCACAAAATATTTATGAGCTCAATAATCTATCTGTTCTAAATATAAGCGGTAATCCGGACATTGTCGAATTGCCACCACAAATGGGATTACTTTCTCGTTTGTGGAATTTAAATACTCAAGGTTGTAAACTGCAAGAACCTTTGAAAACGATGATTGAATCAAAAAAATATAAAACGATGGACGTGATTGGATATTTAAAATCAATCTTGGAGGATGCTAAATCATATGCACGCATGAAATTAATGATCGTAGGGATTCAAGGGATCGGTAAGACTAGTTTATTAGAACAATTGAGACAAGAGGGTGAAGTTCCAAATAAAAAAAAAGCTACGGAACATTGGGCGAAAAGAATGGGTAATAAAAACATTAATGCAAAGACTGCCAGAGGAACAACAATATCCACCGTAGGTGTTGATATTGGGGATTGGATTTACGAGAAAAAAGTGAGAGGACAATCATCTCATGGTCCAGTTTATTTTAGAACGTGGGATTTTGGTGGGCAAAGAGAATATTACGCAACGCATCAATATTTTTTGTCTAAGCGAAGCTTATACTTAGTTGTATGGAGAATCACAGATGGTTTTAAAGGTGTATCAGAAATATTTCAGTGGTTGGTAAATATCCAAAGCAGAGCTCCTAATTCACCAGTAATTATCGTTGGCACTCATTATGATATATCATATGAACATAGCGAGGCTTTACAGCAATATATCCGTGATAAATTTATAAATGTAGTTGATGCTGAAAAGTGTGGTTTGCCAAAAGTGATGGAAACTATCGAAGTGAGCTGTAAAACGAAGCATAATATAAAAATGCTGTGTAATTTAATATATGATGTTGTATTTAGTTTAAGATCACCTGGAAGCAAAGAATTATTACTTGAACAAAAAGTTCCTGCCAGTTATCTTGCCTTGGAAGACGTGGTAATACAGCTTGCACATGATAGGAAATTGTCAGGTACGGATCCGGTTTTAAAAGCTGATCAGTATTATACGGCAGTAAATAACGAGCTTCAAAAATTGCATAGATCATTTAGAGATCCCGCTGAATTACATCAAGCGACACTTTTTCTCCATGAAAATGGCATTATTTTACATTATGACGATGCTACTTTGAAAGATTTATATTTTCTCGATCCACAATGGCTTTGCGACATGTTAGCACACGTAGTAACAATACGTGAAATTAATCCTTTCGCCAGATGTGGTATAATGAAATTAGATGATATTCAACATGTATTTAAATCTTCTACTATATCATCTATAGATACGCAAGGATATATCGTTAGCTTATTAAATAAGTTTGAAGTTGCATTAACTTGGGACTATCGTACTTTGTTAATTCCCTCTTTATTGCCAACTGAAGAGGATATTTTAAGAAATAATCAAATAATCAAAATTCCTGTAAAAACACGAGGTTGGCATATACGTTCTAAAAAAATTACATCTCCAATGATAACATTTCAAAATTCTTCTGGAGATAAATCGAATACAGAATGTGTATTGACATCTAGATCACAACCAGATTGTTCTGTTACACGATTACTTTTAATGTCTTATTTTCCTAGTGGCTTTTGGTCAAGGCTCATAACTAGAATTTTAGCCGACGATGCTATTGTTGAAATTGTGATGTCATTTTTAGCGCCTTTCAAAGATTTTGTTGATGATAATATTTTTACAAGTTTGCTAGATACACAAGCAGAGTGGATACTTTGGCAAACAGGAATAGAGTTGAAATATTCTAACATTACTTTATTACGTCTTAAAGAAGTCAATTATAATTTAAAGAATTCGCCATATGATTATAGACAATTTAAATTTAAACTGAAACAGGATGGAATATGGTGTACAGTAGATTTAAAAAATTCTGCAATTTTAGAAATTTGGTTTCCAGTTGATACTTTGGTGATAAAACAACCTATAATGTCAGATTCAGTTGAAGAGGAACCAATGGGCTATCAAGCAATTGTGGTAGAACCTCGGCCAGAAAGTATGCCACAATTATTGGCCTTAATAGTTGATCATATCGATATTTTATTAGAAGATTGGTATCCTACATTAGGAACACGTTTTGTGCATACATCTGAAGGTAAACTATTAGTTACACGATTGATACCATGTCCACGCTGTTTATTAAATAATGGAGAAAATGAAAATGAAATTAGCGATAATGATCGTTTAACGGAAGATATCCAAAAATATTATATAAATAAAGAAAGACAAAGTCAAGATAGTTATAAGTCTGATGGTGATAGTGGTGTGGGGTATGATAGCCTAACATCAAGCAGAATGCCATCTTTAGAAGGTCATCCAGATATTATTAAACAAAATAACCATTCTGAAGGTATTTTAGCATATTCTTGGATGGTCGAAGAATGTATTTTATCTGCTTATAGTAATAAACCAATAAGTTGTCCTAAACATTCTGATATACCATTATCACATGTAGCTCCCGATATAATTTTTATGGATCTCGGATCGAAGCATTTAATAAAATCAGAAGATATTAAATTAGGAAAGTTATTAGGTCGAGGAGCATTTGGATTTGTATTTAAAGGTGTTTGTCGATTGCCAGGATCTTATCAAAAGATTGATGTTGCCATCAAAATGTTACAACCAGTTCCACCAGGTCCAAATTCAAAACAATCTGCTGTTCTTGCTTATAAAGCAGCTCAAAGTAAATGGGATAGAGATCCATTACAGTATGCTTGTAAAGCTTACTGTACAGCAAGACAAGAATTAAACATTTTGTTGACTCTCAGACATACAAATATTGTACCTTTAATTGGAATAGTAGTTAGTCCATTAGCATTAGTACTAGATTTAGCACCAGAAGGTGCATTGGATAATGTATTGAAAAATTATAGACGTTCTGGTGCTAAATTAGATCCATATACATTACAAGCTATAATTCTTCAAGTAGCAAAAGCTGTAGAATATCTTCATCAACAACATGTAATTTATAGGGATTTAAAATCAGAAAATGTTTTAGTTTGGCAGATGCCTTTACCATTTCAAGATTATCCTGAACATCCTGTTCATGTTAAGGTTGCTGATTATGGTATATCCAGACTTACATTACCAACTGGTGCTAAAGGATTTGGTGGAACTGAAGGGTTTATGGCACCTGAAATTATTAAATATAATGGTGAAGAAGAATATACTGAAAAAGTTGATTCTTTTTCATTTGGAATGTTTATATATGAATTAATTACTTTAAGACAACCATTTGAGGGTCACGAAGCAGTTAAAGAATGTATTTTGGAAGGTGGAAGACCACCATTAACATATAGAGAAACATTTCATCCTTGTTATGCTCTTGATTTAATGGTTATATGTTGGGCTCAAAATCCAAAAGATCGACCTACTGCAAGTCAAATAGTTTCCATTGCATCAGCACCTGAATTTACACATCTTATAGATGTTATATTATTAACAGAAAGAACTCAAGTAACTGCTATTACTATGACAAATAGAACTATAGAAGAAAATTTAAGTGGAGATGAAATTTGGTTTGGACATAATAATGGTGAAGTTGATATGTTATTAGGAACACAGAAAGGTTGGTTACAACATGTTAGAATTGAAACTCCTATAATACCATATGCAATGTGTGGAGTAGATGGATATATATGGATTGGTGATGATATAGGACAAGTACATGTTTATTTAGGCAGTAATTTTGGTTGTGTTGCTAGTTATAATCTTGAACCTGATCATAGTATAGAATCTAAAATAGTAGGTTTAATTTATTTAGAACAAATAAAACATTTTGCAGTAGCACTGCATAGTGGAAAAACATTTTTATTATCAAATTCATTTACACAAATGAAAAAAATGGAAATTACGACTGATATTCAAGATAATGTAAAGACATATTCTTTGGCAGCTGTTTATAAAAAAAAGCGCATATTGGAATTATGGATTGGACAAAGTTTTGGTAAAGTATCAATTTATGTTTTAAGAGACAACAATTTAATAGATACAACACAAGTTTCTCATGTAACTGGAGAAACAGCTATTAAAAATTTATTTGCTACTCACTTATTAAGTGCAGAAAATTCTGTATTATCATACACGTATCCTGGATGCATTGTGTATCAATGGGATGTGGATACTAGACAAATAATAAATAAATTAGATATGTCTAAATTAGTACCTTGTTCAGAGAGTTTAAAATCCATTTCTATAGAAGAAAATTTATCAACAGAAAAGTGCCAAGTAACAGCTCTGGAAACTTGTAGAAATCAGTTGTATATTGGTACTACTTGGGGATGTATTGTGGTAGCCGAATGTAATTCACTTAGACCTATTACCGTTTTCAGACCTTTTGAAGGTAAGGTATGTCAAATAATTTCATTTAAATCAACAGATGAAAAGAAATTAGTACTGGCAACTGTTGGTCAGGGTTACCGAAGTTTAATTTCGCGATATACAGATTTTTTGATTGATAGTTTAGACGCAGAAGATCTTAAACATAGTATGTATGCTCTCTTATGGAGATCTGAACATTGGTCAGCTGCTTAATCATAATTTAATTATGACAAAGTAAAGCCCAGCCAGTGCTTTGTGGTGCAAAAAGTGATATAATTATGTGTGGTTGACAATTCTATACGTCCATATTTTAGATTGTAGATTTTAAGCTTTCAATCTTGACTCATCTTATATCTTTTGAACTGAAGACAAAAATATTTATTCTTTAATCTGTCCAAGCTATATGGTGCTTGATTGATACATTCTTTGCAAAATTTTTATTTATGAAATGAATATAATTTAAGCAGAATATTTTTATCTTCATGTGAGGTATCACAGTATAGTTTTATAACTTATCATAAGTACTTAGATTTTTAAAATAGTTATATATTTATTTAATAAAAAAAAGTTGGAAAATCTTATTATTAACTTTGCAGCATATATCAGAAAAATTTATTTAATGATCTCTGAAATATTATTATATGATAATATCATTATCAAATATTTATATTTATTATTTGAGATAGTTTATTGTGTATGCTTTTACTTGATGAAAAATTACAAGCAGATAATTAATGTAGTATCAATGTAATATATTTGTACAATATTTGCTTAAAATTCCTTTCGATATAATCTAAGATTTATAAGTGATAACAAATAATGATTTCAAGATGATAATGGTTTTACTATTAAAAGTTATCAAATGTAAAACCAAATTTTATTATAATTAAAAAAATAAAAGTGAAAGTGAATTTTTTAATAATAATTATAATTATTAATATGTAAAAAAAAAGAGGAATGTATGAAAATTATGAATGAGAATATTAAGAAATATGATCTAAAGCTGGTAGTTCTTCCATAGTTTCAATGTTATATTTCAGAATTAGGTCTTGACCTCTGTACAAAAAATATCCCTTAAAAAAATTGCCCTCGTAACATATAAGGAAACCAATATTCATCATCCGGCCACATTTCTTTAAAAGGAATATCTTTTAAATTATACCATTTTGGTCGCATTTCTGAACAAAAAAATATAAATATAATTACAATGTATTTATTATATTTTTAAAAAAATACACATTAGATTATATGTTGCATGTAATATATATATTTTAAAATTTTTCATTTTGTGCAAATATATTTTCTGTTTTTTTTTCTGTCTTTTTAATTGATCTCCAAAATTTATATAATTTAAATAGTCACGTGCAATTTTATACTTATAATTAAATAAAAATTGCAACATGATAAAACAAACATAGAATCATTGAATAATAATTGCACATAAAATATATATAATTACTATTATTAATTAGAATAAACATTTGATTATAATATTAATGTTGTAATATTAATTTTAGTTAAAATATTATTATTTAAAATTTAAATACCTTCAGATTCTATTATCTCTCCATAATACTTATATGTTTCAAAAACATGAACTTCTAATAGAACTTCATTCTCTTCAAATTCAAATTCTAGAATTCCAATTTTTCTTAACTCTTGTGCAGATAAACCACATTCTTCTTTTAATTCCCTATAAAATTATGCACTGATGATTTGAAATGCTTACTTTAATTCCTATCTATTTGTGATAGAAATACTTCAACATAATATAATGTATAATAGAAATAATATATGTAATATTTATATTATGCAGCATACATTATACTTTTAGCTTAAATATTTTTTATACTATTTTTACTAATCACATACAATTTTAATTTAGACATATATATATAAAATATTTTATATTTATTTAATTATTTAAAACTGTACCTGTATATATAAGATGATTCATAAAAAATTTTTAAAATTCTTTTAGATGATAAAATATAAATTTAAATAGAATTTAAAAAATAATTTAATTATATATAGTAATAATGTAGTATTATATTATCCAAAAATTTTAAAATAAAAAATCATATATATATTTAGTACATATATTAATTTTATTACTTTACTAAAAATGCTTTTATAAATAATATAGCATTTAATTAATATTTTTTTCAGCTTTAATTATATTTTTCATGAATCATCTTATATATTGTTAAATAGGACGATAAAAATCTTTGTTAAAATTCATTGTTATTAATGTATTGGTTATTATGAAATATAAAATATTGTTGAATATAAAATTCTTAACTTATTACATATAGAACATATTTTCTATTTAACAAAATTCACATTAATTTTAATTTATATTTTTTTTTATTGTTATAGATAAAATATTTTTTGTAAATTTTTTAAAATTATTTACCGCATGGCTCCTTGTAAAATTGATTCTCCTGGTTCTACTTTGCCGCCAAAACCATTCCATTTATCTTTTCCGAATCCTCGTTTTTTTAAACCCAATAAAATTTCTGTTGATTTTCTAATGAAAACTAATGAAAAAGCTTTTCTTACAGACATTGTAATCTATTTAAGTAATTTACCAGAAATTTGATTTTTCTTTTGAATAGTTTTATATTTTAAATATAAAACTTTAAATAGTTTTATATAATTTTTATTTTATGCGATTTAAAATTGATTTTTATTTTTTTATTTAAGTAAAAATCAACTTATTAATAAAAAGTATATTATAATATAATACTATAATATAAATTTGAATGCCTTAATTTAAAAAATATTTGATAGGTTATGCTACTAAAAGAACACTAAAAAGAACTTGTTCACTAAGGGTAGTTTCCGAATCTATATATCATATTCTATCTTACGAAAAATTATGGAAAATTTTATAATTATCTAATTTTTTTCTATTTTTATTTGATTTTTCTTTATTTATATATATTCTTATTATATATTCATTATATTATTAACATTTTTAATATCAAATTAAATTTTGCATTTAATTCAATTTAATTTAATTTTTTTTTTTTTTGAGAAAAAATAAAATAAGAATGATAAACATTTTTATTAATTTATTATATAAATATTATATATATTAAATGTATTATATAATTAAAGTAATAATAAAATATTTTTTATATTTCTACAACAATATTTACAAAAAAAATAAACAATGAAGAATAAATACATATTACATATGATTAGTTTTTTTTTATTTTTACAATATATTATTATAAATATAATCTATTTAAAATTCTATTTATTATTTTTTGTTATCTTTAGTGCTTTCATGTGATATCTGTGATTTAGGTATTGTTTTAGCATCATACATTACTTTATATCTTTGCAATGCCTTTTCATATGCTTCTTCTTCTTTAATATTATCCTATTTAAAATAAATATTATGGCTTTTATCTAACTTTTTACTGTTATTTAAAATTAACTGTTATATAATTATATAAAAATAAATATAATAATATTGAATACCTGTAAAAAACTTTCATATAAAGTTAAAAAGATTTGAGTTTGCGTAGCATTGTCACATTTCATATCTATTATAGAAAGTTGTGTATCTTCGTGAAATTTTCTACAAAAATATATATTTGAAATATAAACACAGATTATGTTTATTAATAATAAATATATTTATATGAATTATTTGTACGAGAAATGAAATTTTTACTTACGCTCTTATAATATCTTCAGCATAAAATATATTTTGTATTTTTTTCTGTGATGGTTTTCTAGCAAAGAGTGGTTCATCTTTTGGAGGAAAGTTTTTATATATGTTATACCATATTGGCAAATTATTTGGATGTAATGAACCTGTGCGTATCAATGATGTTATTCTAAAATTAATAAAAAAAATATATTATTTAAAATATATATTATTTAAAAATTATATAAAAATTATTTTGCAATAGTTTATAATGATTAACTAAAATGAATTTATTTTTTCAGAATCGTAAAATGATTAAATTTAAATAATTATATAATGTGATTTTGTACAATTTTTAATAAAATATACTTTTTTAATAAATTTTTTATTTTAATTATTTTATATAAATATATAACTTGTTAAATTGAACTATATAATAAATTATCTATTAATAATTTATCTTAAGAATATAAATTTTAACCTATTTCATAATGATTTAAATTTCCATAAAATATGTTAAAAGAAATTTTACCTTGTAAAAATTGTTCCAATTTTTTCTGTTCTACTTTGCGCCATATTTTAAAAGGAGAATTGTAATTTATGAGCTAATTTTATATGTATTATATGTAAATTTTTACTTATTGTAAATATATATATGTATACTAATAATGCGTATATAAGTATAAGTCTTATGGTGTATGTTATCTTTTTTTCAGAAATGTTGACTATTTGATACATTTTATACTTAACCTCAAAAGTAGTTTAGTATATAATTTCATGTGTAAAAATTATTATAAAAAGTGACATCGTATATATTACAGTAAAATAAGTTTGATAAAATAATTAATATTCATATATTTAATTGATTTGATTAATTTAAAAAATATGTTGAAAATAAATGAGAATCAAATTTTTGCAATTGGCCATATCTTAAACGATCAAAATCGACCATTAAAAGAAAGATTTCGTGCTTTATTTACTTTAAAAAATATTGGTGGAGCAGAAGCTATTCAACAAATTCATAATTGTTTTAAAGATGAATCAGCTCTATTAAAGCATGAACTTGCATATTGTCTTGGTCAAATGCAAGATTCTCGTGCTATACCAGTTCTTATAGAAATATTAAAAGATACTACACAAGAACCAATGGTTCGCCATGAAGCAGGTTTTTATCATATATTAGATTATATATTAAATTATATTAAATTATATATTAGATCATATATTAGATTAGATATCATATGTTTTTATTTTTACTAAAAATATATTTTTTTGTAATAGGTGAAGCTTTAGGTGCAATTGGAGATTCAATTGTAATACCTATATTGGAAGAATATAGCAAAGATTGTGTACTAGAAGTTGCAGAAACATGTCAATTGGCATTATCTCGTATACAATGGTTAAAATCAAATAGTAATTCAATTAATTTGCAAAAAAGTCCTTATATGTCAGTGGATCCAGCACCACCAACAAATATTACTGATATTAAAAAATTAAAAGAAATTCTTTTAGATGAAAATATTTCTTTATTTGAAAGATATAGAGCCATGTTTTCCTTGAGAAATATAAATACTTCAGAAAGTATTCTTGCTCTTAGTGAAGGTAAAATAATGATTCATTATTCATTCTTTATAATAATTTATTTATTTTTTTTATCAATGTAATTTATAATTTTAAAAATGTAAAAATTTATTGCACAAATAGGTCTGAAAGTAGGAAGTGCTTTGTTCAAACATGAGATAGCTTTTGTTCTTGGACAACTTCAGAAAGAGATAGCTATCCCACATTTGGAAGCTTCCTTAAAAAATACAGAAGAAAATGAAATGGTGCGACACGAATGTGCAGAAGCATTAGGTTCCATTGCTACTCAAGATTGTTTTGATATTTTAAACAAGTATTTAAATGATAATAAGAGAGTTGTAAGAGAAAGTTGTATAATTGCATTGGATATGTGCGAGTATGAAAATAGTTCGGAATTTCAATATGCTAATACATTAGGAAAAGTTATGGTTTAAAATTGTATTTTATATTTATTTCATTGTAAATAAATAAAAGTTTATTCATTAATATAAATAAATAAATTTTATTTAAAATAAAGTCAACATAATGCTGAAATTGTTAAATGTCGTATAATTTATTATATATAATATTTTAATTATATTAAAATTTATTGATAATATTTTATCTTTATTGCCAAATTAAATAATTAAATAGAATATTTTTCATTTGATTTATTGATTTTCTTTTGTTTACAAGAATTTTTAAGTTTTGACAAAAAGGAAATTTTAGCATATAATTAAAATAAGAAAATATGCATATTACAATCGCTTTTTGTACTTTTTTGAAAATTAAGGAATCTTTTAAAAAGATTCGAAGAGAACGAAATTACGACAAAAATGAACTCAAAGTTTGTTAAACAGGTTAAAAGTGATATTCAGTTGTACAAATATCACATGTGTCATAAAATATCAAAATATTTCAAGTTCATTTAAAAATTTTAGAAATGGGTAATTTGCTTACTTATCCATTCCCATATCTCTATAAAAAGAAACAAGAATGGCAAGAAGAAAAGTATCAATCAATCAAAAATATTTTTACACTAGATGTCAAAAAAATAAAAGAAATTTGGTCGATTGTAGAGAAGGATAGCATGTATTATGGGTTTGCACTATGCACTATGTAATTATAATGTTACAATGTTATTTTTGAAAATATAATTATATATTATATATCAATTCATTTTATATAAGCTAAACGAACTCGCAGGATTTTTAAAACTCATCCAGAATACGTGAAATACTTCGAAGATGAATCACTTCCATATTTCGTTCAAGAAGCTAAACTTAAAAAGAAATTTAATAGCATATGCGAAATGTTGTGTACTTTATTCTTAAATTATGATAATAAATCAATGAAAAATGATTTTTTTGGCTACATTGCTATGGTTCATAAAGATATGGGATTAACAGTTTTTGATTTCGAAGTTTGTTAATTTTTATGTGTAAACGCAATAAAAAAATTAAATTAATTAAATTTCATTTACAGAATTTTACATCAGATGTATTGGATATGTTAGTAGAAGAATTACCACACATGATGACAAAAGAATACATTATCGCGCAAAAAATATGTTATAATGATGTATGTAGATTGATGGTAAAATTTATAAACAAAAATAATCAAAAGATACTTGAAATGCAAAATGCACATACATCCAAAAAAGTATGTACACTTTTTTTCTGAAAGATCTTATAATTGTATCATCTTATCTTATTCATTATATTGTAAAATTAAGGTGAAATTTGAATAGTGTTTTAAAGGTGAAATTGATCCAATGTCACAGATTTTTTACGGCCATCCATTAAGTTATTGGGAATATAAAAAAGAATATTGGAATAATAAGAGAGATTTATGGATATCAATGGAATCAGATATAATATATAATTCTAATTATAATCATTATAATGTAGCAAAAGAGGAAAAATATCCTACAAATGACACAAAAAGTCGTAAAAAACTATTAAAAAAAAAATTATCAAAGAAAGAAGTAAGTTCCACGCATATGAATAAATGAAAAAGTAATCCAATATAAATATTTTAAACCATTTTATGCCATTTTCATAATTATGATAATGATTAAAACTTAGAATTAAAATTTAAATTTTTTTTGATCTAAATTTTCTTTTATAATTTTCTTTTAAAATTCAACATTACAAATTTTATCTTATTTATTATTGTTAACGAAACTAATTAATTTAATTTTGTTCTATTTTAATTAATTGTTAAAAAAGATAACTAGCAAACAAAAAAAAACATGAACAAATTGGCGAGAATATTCATTTCATAGTTATTAATAAATGAAAGCAATTGCTTTTAGATTCAGATTTTCTTCTATGGAAATTATTCAAGAAATAGAGTAAATTTTTTTTATATTTCCCTATTTATTACATAAATGATACTTTATTATTTTATATATATTTTATACACAGTGCAATATCCGAAATGACGTATTATATAGCGTAAATATTTTTTCTTAGGTGAGATATGAATCTGATAATGATGATTATGTCTTAAAAACGACACAACAAATCTCTTTGGAAGGTATAAATATACTTTTATATATTTAATAACTTGATTTTCACATTATTTTTATTCTTTCTTTATTATGTATCAATCCAATTGTAAGATAAAATTCTTTTATATTAAAGATGCAATCAAAAAAGTGATAAAGCTGACACCAAGAGAACGTAAACGAATGCGTAATAAGCGTCATTCAATGTAATGTTTTGGTAAGCCACACAAATTATATAATTACAATAAATGTGTGAATAATTTTTAAAAATCTTTTCTATCTTCCACTTTTATTTTTGTTTTGTGTTAACATTTCATGAAATTGTTTTTAATCAAATTTACGCGAATGAATTCGAAACACTCATCTTCTCGAAAGTTCTTTTCTAGGCAATTCAGCAATTTGAAACAGGGATTTCAACGATATAAAGAGAACCATAGATGAAAATTGAATAAATAGAATGCAAATTATTTATTGTCTTTCCTTTATTTCGTCTTGTGTTGTTTCAATACTTCCTGAATCTCGTTAAAAGATTTGCAGGACGTTTCCGGTAATGCTATATTTAAGATGATGCCGATAATAAATTCGATGACGCCAAAGACAAGAAATATTACGTATCCATATTTGTCGCTCAGAAGTCGATAAACATTATACACGATTATGAACAATATGAATCCAAAAATATTAGAGAACATGCTTGCCCAATTTTTCATGTTTGTCGGGAAAATTTCCGAAGAGACTACGTATGGGATTGAGGTTAAGCCATACGAGAAAACAATAAAGTAAATCGCAAGAGCGACCAATGGGATCGCGGAGTAACTGCTGACTTTCATTCCTATATGTTCGACAAAGAAATAGGCACCAATCGCGAGAAGGCATAGAACACTGCCGTACGACGATATTAGAAAAACAGACTTTCTGCCGAGTTTGTCAACGGTAAGTGCGGATAATAAGCTGACAACTAAAGATATCCCGCTTATTATAAGAAGAAGATAATTCTGTTCGAATTGTACATTGAATTTTTTAATCAAATCACCGCTGTTGAATAAAATGGCTGCGAATCCTGACAATTGTTGAGCCGCCATCAACAGCAATAGAAGCGTCAATGCTTTCCCGTGTGGCGCTTTCGTGAATAATTTTTTGAAGCCATCTTGATCTTCCGCCTCTATCAACATATTTATCCTGTTTAACTCCTCCTTGTTCTCCTCCTTGCGTCTTAGCCATACCAAAGTCAGCGCTGCGGAATTTTTCTTGCCTTTCTTGTAGTAATAGTAAGGCGATTCTGGTAACCATGGCATAGTTAACAAAAATATAGCTATCGGTATTAAATTGAGAAATGACAGATTCTGGAAAAAAAATACAATATCGTTAATGATTACATATTTTTACATATGTATAAACAAAACTATTTAAACATTACGTCATCTTAAATTTATCGTGAATATACAATACATAGTAGATAAATATTTTGCACAGAATCGCAAGTTGAGCGATACAAGCGAAAACATAGAAGGTCAATATCTTTTTTTTTCCTTTTTCAGAAAATTGATATCGCTTGCATCACCCGTTCTCGGACATTTCGTCATATAATTGTCATACAATTCGTCATATAATACGCAATGTCAATGATACACAGCAATCGTTACGATTTCAATACTTTTTTAACGTAATCGATTTCGATGAAAAATTTTAAAAGATAAATAATCCTTACCTTCCTACTTAAAATCGGTTGAAGACCGATTACGAAGATGTATCCCAGATTAAACATGAAGGATATCATAGTGTTACACGCTCCTCTGATTTTTTGCTCTACCAATTCTCCTATATATAATGGGGCCATGGAGTACAAGGCACCGAACGATACACCAGATATCAGTCTTGCCACTAAAATTTCAATCCAAGAATTTGCGAAAGCGGTGAGCACCCAACAGATTATGAATGGTACGCTGGTCGCGTAGAGGAACCATTTTCTGCCGATAACGTTCAGTAATAAACCGGATAAAATTGATCCAACAATGGCGCCTACCGGTATCGCGTTAATTACCAAAATTCCATTATTTTGATTTATATAAATATCGGAAGAGGTGGTTTCAAACTTTGGAACAGCGATCGTTGCCCAGCCGACGGAAATTCCGGCGGAGAATAATGCTAGATTAACTGGAATGAGAATAAGAGATATGATTAAAATGTTTCTCAAATTGATCATATTTCGAAAGCATCGTATTATCAGGACTGTGATTAAACTTTCTTTCGATTTAATTGAACTGAGAAATGGGAAAAAATGGATAAATAGATAAATACGTTTTTATCCTTTTCAAAGATAATGGTGATTTTGCGATATAAATTTTTCCTTTTTCCAGTTAGAGAAATAGTATTTTAAATAACAAAACATTAAACATTATAACTTTAATACTATTATTGTATATAAAAAACGTGAGAATATTTAAGTTCTTTTAATGTCTATTTTAACTTATTTCACATTCTTCTTCAGCTCTGGTACATGGCAAAGGCACATTGGAACTTTTTAAGTTTGTTCTTCGCAAAAAAAATTTTGAAAAAAAATCAATGATATCCTTTCAAATTCCTACTTTTAAGCTATATATAATCACGCGTTACAATTTAGATAATGAAAGATCCTGGTATGCCATTGCAGAGTTAATAAAAAGAAGATTTCCATTTAAAATTTCTTTATTGCCAAAAATCGACAAATTTTTTTTTCAATTCATTTTATAATAAAAACCAAAAAAAAAAAAAAGAGATTCATACCTATAAAACTTGATATTAACTGTAAATAAATCTTGCTCTCTTTCTTGCTCCCAAAAAATTGATCTGTACTCGTCGATGTTCCAGAATCCATATTTAATTTATTTTCTTTATTATCCTCGTTTTTCCTGAAAAAAAGAAAATAACGTAAAAATTTTTCATTATTTTAACCCGGATTAATTTAATCCGACCGATCATAAAGTATAGAGTCGGAGAAAATTTTGAAAAGAAAAAAGAAAAGAAATTTCGAGAAACGTATCGAGGAAGTATCGATCGGCTCGTAATCTTTTTTTTTCTTTGCAGCGCACGTGAATCGCATGGAAATCGATGTTGCAATTTTCAACCACCTGACAGGTGCACATTAAGCGCTCATTTGTTACAAGGAGGATGTTCATTAATCGATGCACGTTTAAACCGACGATGCGCCCTTTACAGATTTATCGCCTTAAGAATCTTTAAATTCGCATTCGACACGCGTTGCGTCATCTCGATATATTTATCTCTTATTCGTACTTCATTTCTCCTAAACGAGACCTACAATTTCCTTATTTACATCTTTTCCATTTCTCATAACGAGTCCTCATAACCCTTTGGGAGTCCCGATATAGTTCACGAAGTGACGTCAGCGAGAGAGAAATTTATGGTCAGGATTATACAGACATCGATCACGAAACGTTGCGTTTCTCCTCTCCTCGCTTTTTCTTCTTCTTTTAAGAAGCTGGAATCGTCGAACGAACTCTTCGAACCATCCCGATCAATTTAAATCTTACGATTTAACAATTTTTAAATAAAATATTGTTCCTTGCATTATCGATCGATCATTAAAAGTTGGAACAGCCTTGTTCTTATTAAACAAAAAAAAAAAAAAGAAAATAATGCATTTAAGTACATACATAATAATTAAGAAAAAAAAAGAAGAAAAACATTTCGTCGTGATATTATTATCCCACACGAAGAATAATCGTAAATGATATAATGATACATAAGATGCGTCTTTGAGCAAAATACGATAAGCAATGCAACGTCGAAAACTGATTTCGAATCATCAATTTATATAAAAAAAAAAAAAAAAAAAGGAAAGAAGATATACATTCGAGAGCTACGATAAATTAACAATATTTCAACAATATTCCAACGATTTATCGCGTAATCACGATACCTCTATTTTAACAATCCGACGCAGATAATTTTCTCCAGATTAATTCTTTTTTCGACCGCAGATCTCACAGCTCTTATCTCGACAGACGACGATCCTCAATTTTATCGCGCGTTTTACATAATTAACCGTGAAAAAAGGAAAAATTCCTTTCGAGTTTTTTTTTTTTTTTAACACCCTCCCCTCTTCTCTTTCAGAGAGAAAGAAACGGGAAGAGGGCGCGTTGTAACCTCCCACTTGTTATAACGATGCATCGATGCGCAAGGTTGATCGATTAAAACTAGCGAGGCTGCCATATCGAGATAACTCGATACGAATTAATTAACCGGATGTCACCCGGGTGGATCGTAAAGCAATTTGGGCAGTTAAAACGAGAGGGGTTGGCCATTCGTCGCCCTTGTCATCTCTCCCCCTCCCCTCCCCTCTTTTTAGACCCAACGATCGAATTCGATCGGGAACCACTCGAAACAGAAATATATGTATATATGTATACATACGTAGGAGAGTTCAGTGACCAAACAGGCGTTAACCAAGTCGAATAATCGGTTAACCGACTTAACCGGTTGGCCGCTGATCGTGTAAAGAGAGGCTTTAATAATTTTAATCATTTAACCGCGTGGCCATTAGCCGGTGGCGGAGGCGTGTTGGCGGAGGGGGTGGATTTAAAATAGCATTAGATAGGCAGTGGCCGTCAGTCGGGCACGAAGAACGAGTAGTCGGCGTCCAACCGTGTCAGCGATTGAGCGAATTGAAAACGACAGTACGTGGCACGTGACATATCATACAGAATTACGGTAAATTGTGGTGGCTCGCTGTATCCCGGCCGTGCTTGATAACCGGCGATCATGACGTCTCGCCGAATCTCTCGGTTTATTATTAAATAATAAATCCGTTCTCCCTTCTCCTTTTTCTCTCTTCCTCCTTTCTTTCTTCTTCTTCTTCTTCTTCTTCTTCCTTCTTTTATACGCCTCTCGATCCTCTTAAAGATAAAACGCGTCACGTGTTTATTATAGCATATAATATCATCGGACAAGCGTACCTTCCACTTCACCATTCGTACCGAACGTCTTTTTTTTTCTGCCTTCGATTTCGTAGGAGGGGAGGAGGAGGAGGAGAAGGAGACTCGTTCCTCGCCTGTTTCTTCGCTCGAAACAAGTTCCCTCTTTTCTTTTTTCTTTTTTTTTTTTCTTTTCTTCCTTTCTTCCTTCCTTTTCTTTTTTTTTTTTCTTTTGCCCAACGCCCGTTTTCGCAACGGACGAGGAGCGATGGGAACGTTTCTACGTTTCCTCGGGATTTCGTCATCGGACGATAACAGGATCGATCAGGCGACAGGGTTGACCGAGAGGCAGAAGAAATTAGTGCAGAACACGTGGGCGGTTGTCAGGAAGGACGAGGTGGCTTCCGGGATCGCCGTGATGACCGCGTAAGTTTTGCTCTTAAGAGAGGGACGCGCGCGCGCGCGTGTGTCGCTCTTTATATTATTATTATTATTGTTACTCGTAAATCGATCGTCGTATCGTAACAAAAAGTGGAAACTCTCTTGAGTCGTTGTAAAAAAAGGTTTATTATGCTTTTATCTCTTGTTCTTTTTTTTTTCTTCTTTCTTTTGTTTGTCCCCTTAATCTCGAGAAACATGTCTCTCGAGAACGCGAAGTTGCGATTATCGATAACCTTCGTCGTAACGATGATGTAAAAAGTTGATAATGTAAAAAAAAAAGAGAGAGAGAGAGAGAGATAAAATTATTCTTCACCGTTGCAGTTTCATGTTATTCCTTTCTTTTTTTTTTTTTTTTCTATTCTCGATGAGATATCACCAATATCAGTATCAATATTTTTCGCAATTCTCCCCTTTGATCACGTCTTATTGTTACTCGTTCTCGATCGAAATTCGACCGAAATCCCCCACCCATCCGAATTTTTTTCTACTTTCTTTTTTCTTTTTTCCTCTCCCCCCTCCGACGATCGATTTATGCCCAACGAATGACGAATTTCAGATTCTTTAAAAAATATCCGGAATATCAGCGATACTTTACCGCTTTCATGGACACTCCCTTGAACGAATTGCCGGCTAATAAACGGTTTCAAGCTCATTGTGCCAGCGTAATTACGGCCTTAAATAATGTTATCGATTTCTTGCACGACCCAGGATTAATGGAGGCTAGCCTAATCGGTTTGGTCGAGAGGCATAAAAAACGCGGCCAAACGAAGGAAGAATTCCAGGTACGAGTGTGAAAATTAGAAAATCGAGTTTTACATATACATATTGAGATTGCTTTCGACTTTCATCGCGGTGAGGAGTTAAGATCGAACGTCTTCGATTTATCCTTCTCTCAAACACCACAATATTTCGTTATCGTTTCTTTTCTTTTTTTTATATTATCTGGAAATTCGTTTCGCTTCGAAGGAGCAAGCTCGATATATATAACAAATATATATATATATATAATAATAACAGGGAAGAAAGAGGATCCCTTTTTTTGACGACTCTCCGTTTCCCTCCCCAATTTCTAGAACTTGAAGGAAGTAATGTTGGAAGTTCTTCGCCAAGCGTTGGGGAAGCAATACACGCCGGAAGTGGCCGAGGCGTGGAACAAAACTTTGGACATGATGTTCGCGAAGATATATCAAGTTTTCGCTTCTTGAAGAACGGGACGAGTTAGTTTATCCGTCATTTCTTTTTTTCCTCCTCCCTTCCCCTCCCCCCCCCTTCTTTAATTTAGTCACTTAAGAATTGCTTCGTTGTATGTGTATATAATAAATAACGCATTGTCTTACAAATTAAAAAAAAGAAATTGAAAGAAGAGAAGAGAAGAGAAGAGAAAAATATATATTTTTAAAATGATTTCAATATGCACAATAATAATAATAATAATAATATTAGCATATATATATATATATATATTACATTGCGTATCGTACAACGTTGAAACAAATTGAAGATATATATATTTTAATTAAAGATTCACGCAACTGTTTAGGATCGACGCGAGGTTTATTATGTTAAATTTAATTGAATTGCGAAAATTTTGAAAAATTAATTTTTCGCCTAAACTATCGTTCTTCTTTATCAGCTTAATAAAGCATCTTCGTAACAGTGTACGATCGTATTTTTCTTCAGCGATCCCTCGACTTTTGAGATTAATTTTTCAAGATATTGTTTGCAAAATGAGAAATTGATATCATTATCATATAAGAATACTTTTTTTTTTTTTTTGGATCCAGCCGTATTATAAATATCGATCGATCGAATTTAGAGAATGGAGAATATAAAAATGGAGAAGTGGATAATAAAAACGAAGTAGATGCGAATGGATGTAAAATACTTACACGATGCGATGAGACGAGAACGTATGTATTTTTACGAAAAATTCCGGATTAAGTAGTAGAAGGGTCAATTATCATCTACGATTCTATTAGAAGACTATTCATATGCGAGGTGATCCGCTGTTGGAATACGAAAGCGAAATGTTAGAAACGTTGTGCACAAGTTTCACGCTCGAGTATACGAGAATCGAACGTTTTCAACTTGGAAATACGGTGGAACGAAAACAAACGGGGAATAGAAACGGTATCTGCGTGAAACGTGGAAATTGTTTCGATACGCTTTTGATAAATTAAACGCGAATTCGTTGAAAAAGTTACGGAGAGAAAAAAAAAAAAGAAAAAAAAGAAAAAAAAAAGAAGGTAAAGGAATAAATTACTTACTCGATATTAAAATCCGATGAACATATGATAATTTCACAATTTCTCTTTTTCGTTTGATAGTTGCACTACAAATTGTTACGATTCGATCATTTTTTCCCCCCCCTTTTTCTCTTCCCTTCAAAAATTATTGATCAAATTTACTCACGTGAAGCAATGAAGTTGCCATCGTGATTCCAGCCGATTTCTAATAAGATTTATACCCGTTTGTCTATATAATATATAGATTGATCATAATCGACAATAAAATTATCTTACATTTTGTTTAGATAATATTGTTTAGTTGTATGCTCTATCATCATTGCTGGTATTACATTCTTTTTTTTTTCCTCTCTCCACTTTTTTATATTAATAATCTAGCATTATCTATTAGATATAATGCATGGATATATATATATATATATATATATAATTTTAATTCTTATCTCGAATGAAATCACCTTGAGCGGATAAAAAAATTTTTTCACTTGTTAAATTTTCCATCGATTTATCTTGTAATATATCGATCTTATAAAATTTCAATAAAATCTTACCCGACGTATCCCTCCGTTATTTTCTTATACTTTCGTTCGATCAATCATTATTTAGAGATGTTTAAAGGATTCGAGAGATCGAAATACTCGTAAAAACATATTTGCGAAACGAATAGAAAAGATTAAGAGAAATTGTTAATTTCGGTCATTGGATATTTCTATAATATATATGAATTATACGCAAGATAAAGAAAGAAAGAGAAAAAAAAAACCATATTCCACAAATATTTAACGTTATATTAGCATGCAGTTTATAAAGGCAAAGAACAGTCGTTTACGAGTTGTAGCTTCGAAACCAATTTCTTTGATTGCCGATAAAAAACAAACGTATTATTTATACCTAATATTCTCGTTAATAAATTGCGTAACGTGACAAGTGAGAGGAGATACAAGGAACACGAAGTAATACTGGTGGCTCATTTAAATTAACAACAACCTTCTAAGCGCATCTTGTGTTGTATGATTTAAATATACGCAATACCGATATAAGTGTGGCCTCTGTGCATCTAAACCAATTGCGTTACAGCAATAATTGAAATGCAAAGCTATAATAAAAATAGACAAACGATTTTACACAAATGGAATATCGATATATCTGAAGGAAGATACGCGGCAATAATTGTTGAATTAAAAATGGGTTCTGCGTTCACTTATTTTTCCGAAAGACGACAATTGCATCGATTCGAAAGTTGGTTTAACCAGAAGAGAGAAGAGATTTGTGAGAGAGACGTATTACGTGCGCATTCGATAGAAACCGGCGTCGCTGTTATGATAAGGTAAGTCGATGAATTGTACTTTCGTTTTTCCGATATTTATTAATATCAGAAAATATTCCCATAAGTTTTTTTCCCTCGAAATAGGATAAAACTTCGAAATAATAATATCTCTATTTTAAAGATTATCGCTCGACGTATTTCAGTTATTTCAGAAAATATCCCCAATATCAAAAGGTGTTCCCCATTTTTAAGAATATACCGATAGAGTTGCCGTCGAATAAAAGGTTTCAAGGTTTCATCGTCAAAATATCGTGAGCACGGTGAGCGGTTGTATCGATGCTTTGAACGTATGTTGACTTAATGGAAGCGATATTGCATACTATTGGCGAGAGACACGGCCGACGAGGTCAGGATAGGCAACAGTTTATTGTAAGTTCGTGCGATTTATTGCTGATAGCCGCATTCGCTTCTTCTTTTCGCTTATGCTATTTCTATTTTAATAATCGTAATGTAATTGCGTAGAATTATACATAAAAGGAAAGGAAATTGGAATTTTTATTTGGAAATATGTAATTAAAAGTTGATTAGAAAAAAAAAAATTTTTTTGACGATGATCAAACGATTATATCACAATTGCGATTATTTTTTTTTTGTTAGTAAGTTGTAATTGTATACAATGAAAGGAAGAAATGATTCTATAATCGTAATAATCGTAATAACATTCGTTCACAACACGTTTGTTCCCCCTCTAATTTCAAATTTTATAACAAACACGTAATAATAGATACTTGAGTTGCATGTACTTTAATCCTGTTTCCAAATATGCTTCGTTTATTTTAAAGATATTTTATCGATTATTTATCAGATATGAAAGTTCGATTAAATAAATTGCACAAGTTATCTTTTAACAAAGATGAATCTTTGGAATTTTCATTATTGAGTGGTATTTAATCATTATGATGTACGTATATCGCTTATTCTATATAAATAATAATAATAATAATTATCACGAATTATTATATATTAGAATAATGATCAATTGTTAGAACGTAGTGAAAAATAATAAAAATTCTTTGTTTTGTAAAATAAAATTAATGTTTCTCGGAGAAAAGAAAAAAAAAAAAAATTGTAAAAAATTCAAAAATATCCAATGTATATAATTCATGCTACTCAGTTTTTTACTTCTTAACTGCCAAGTTAAGAAAAAAATCCATTGAAACTGAAACGGGAGAAAGATTGAAACGACACTGATGAAACATTTTTGTGAAACAAGGTCAAGACTTGTATCCGGAAGTTTTCAACGGTTTCAACATGAGTTGACAATAGCCTTCCGGATTCGAGGAAGGTCATTTTTTTCTTCATAATAACAACCTCAAGTTTGATTTTATCGACGAGCGAAATAGAATAGAACAATAAGTAGTTTTATAAACGCAAATTGTAATTTGATATTGATTGCTTATTCAATATCGACTGTTAAATATATAGAACAACGAGTAGTTTTGTAAGTGCAAATTGTAATTTGATATTGATTGCTTATTCAATATCGACCATTAACATTATAGTATAGAATTTCTATATTTTTCTATTTATTAATAAAATACCAGCCATGTTTCGATATATCTTAATTATAAAATGTAATACGTAATATGGTTGTTGTTCGAGATATTTAATGAATCTTATAATCTATAATAAGGTCAACAACGATGATCTCGAGATGGAAAATAACGATAACATTTCAACATCGATAATTATTCTTCAAAATAAATATTGTAAGATAATGATTGTGTCAGTAAATTTTACAAATTTTTTTTTTTTTTCGTTAACATTTAACAAATTCATTTAACACGATTAATGTGTACGATAAGCTTTTTTTCAACATTTTATCTATATAACGTTATATACTCATACAATTATTCTCTTTCATGCTTGTTGTATATTATTTTTATCTTACATTTCAGGATATAAAAGGAGTGATAATGGAAGTAATGAAGAACACGTTGAAATCGAAATTTACCATCGAAGTGGAAGCTGCTTGGGATAAAACGATTGATATCCTGTTTTTAAAAATATTCCTGAGATTACAAATAAACATTCTTTTATACATCCGTGTCCGAATCGCTTTCTAAATATATATAATCAGTAGTTCCGCTAGTACTGCTTTCGGTGTATTTCTTCCTTGTTTTTTTTTTATTCGCTTGTTTTACATTCTCGTTTTCCTGCTGCTTTACTTTCCTACGATTTAAACAATAATTTTTAAATTTTTCGAAATTTACGTTTATTTTATTTAATAATATAAAAAAAAAGTAATTAAAATAAAAATATAATAAGAATAATCGTACTTGTATTTGATTTTATGTCTGATTCTTTGTATAACCGTGGCGCATATAAGTGTTAACAAAGTTCCTAATAATGCTAATAAAATTGCTATGAGGATAACGTCAATTTGTAACCAAGGATCTTCTTTCTCGCGTTTACGTGGTTCAAGAGTTACAGGGTGACTATGAAATAAAATATTTAATTTAATGTATTTTTAACTTTTCATTAGAATTACGTTATTTATCGTATATTTAAAAATATAATATTTCAATGTTTCTCGATCTTTTTGGAACATTAATTCTTTTTCTAATATATATAAAAACTTACTTTCTTTTCTCACAATTGCATAGAAATATATTTGATGCGAAAGGATATTTGTTATCTGAACGATTGTTATTCGAAAAATTTTCATCAAGATTATCGGATGATTTTAATACTTAGGATGCGTGCGAGTCTTCAAGCGTTCGGGCAGACTCGAGTAAAATCGGACAAGTTCGGGTGTGTCTCGAGCTGGGATGCAAGTTTCAAATGTCCCGAATATTCGTTTAAGCCCGACTTCTTCCGAATCTGCCCGAAGCATCGAGTATTCGCACACTCCTAACCAATATATTTAGATTTCATTTTGATTCCATTGTGCTTACGGTAATTCCGTTTCCTGTTTTCCGAGTTCTTCGAATGTCGTTACCATAGCCCTCTGAAGATCTTTCCCTAATTGTTTAAAAGTGGATTTTCCTAACCAATCTGCCAGATCATCTCGACCTAATTGTCGAAGTCTGTGAGTCAAAATTTCATGAGTGGTGCCTTTACCCTCGGCTGGAGCACTATTCCAATGCACGAGATGTCGAATACAAGGGATGCTTTCATCCACATTACGTTCTTGAAAAAACAAACGAAAATAAATAGATAGGTGGGTTGAAGTGTATAAATATTGCAATGTAAATAATAGAATAATCATGATATAATTTATCTATTAATCACGATATTTATTGAAATCAAGATTTTTGATTGTTGATATTTCTATAAATGTAGGTACTTGTTCACACACTTGAAAAGGATTTACTTCAATTTCCGATGGATTCTATGAATACATTATATTTCTTCAAACGAGTAGAAGAGATAATAATCGTTAATGCATTCTATTCAATCATTAGTCGATTTACCAGCACCAGCCAGATCTCTCGGTAGCTCGTAAGTGGTGTAATGAAGTGCGGCTATCAATCGTCGACACTCGAAGTGATTAAGACGAGCGGCTAAATATTCCAATTCGTTTAAATTAACATCGATCGTGGCAAAGACATTGTATCGCAATAGAATAACAATGAAACTTAACCGTATGGACCATTCATGCCCATTTTTCGATAATCTTTTCATCGCGAGATTAACGAAATAACCGTTCTTTCTTCTTCGTTTCGCGAGAAATTAGCTCTCACGAATTTCATAGAGGACGCAATTAACAGTGACAAATTTCACGAAAGATTTTTAAAACGGATTATTATATAATAATTAAAAAAAACTCGATCATTCGTATGATCTACGAGTCTCGATAGTTATTGAAATTATTATATTAATTGATGTAGATTTAGAAGAACCATTCATTGATCGATTCAAAATGATTGTACAAATTAAATATTTTCATGACTTTGTAATATTAATTTCCTCGTTTTTATAACATTATACAGATATACTCCGATAATTCAGTATATTTAATATAAAATAAAATTACAGGTGTGAACATTTGAGAGCTTTATACAATTCGTGTGTTGAATTAATTTTCAACACATTTTTTTAATTACACGCTTTATCTATGCGGTCTTTTCGCCGTTCTCTTTCGTTTCTTCTTGAAACATCTTTGGCAACCTGGTGACTTCGTTGTCTCTTCCGCTTCTTTCGGCGTTGTGGGAGCTGTAACGTTTTGTGTGGCAGTGTGCACCATTTCGTACGATGGTGCCCTTTTCCTTTTCCTTCGTGGCTTTCGAAAAAAGTAACTTCTAGATATATCTCCTCCCTCTTCTTCGATCATGATCAATTTACTAGCCAAATTATTTTTATTATTATTATTAATTGAATTTATTATTATATTAATAAATATTTTCGAATTAATTTTATTTCATATATTCATAATTACCCTTTTTTCTTCTTCCCTCGTAATCGATCGAACAGATGTCCGAATTTTTTCTTTATAAACAAAGTGCAACAACATGTAACTAATATAATCGAAATAACGATAATCGTTGCAGTTTGCACCGACAATGTGAAAGTGGTAAATCCTGCAAATGGTAAGAATATTTATTTATCACGATTAAGATAGAATTGTTATAGCCGAGAAAAATTTATTACTGATTTTCTCGATCTCTTTCGGCAACTTAGGTTTTGGCGTTGTATTCGGTGGTTGATATTCATCGTAGTCTCTGGAGAATCATAAAATTGTTACAGAATGAGGAAAACATTATACGAAACTTACGTCTGTTTATTCTAGATGTCGCAAATAGTATTTCTAGGAACATATGTGTTGTGTTTTCTCTAGTTTCATTTGCGTCACATTTATATTTGGCAAAAATCTTTTAAAAATAACTCAATCACACGATGGACGAAAAGAAAGATGATTTTCTCCTTATAAAGAGTTTAGTATTTTTATACATACGGATTATCATGAGGATTGTCATGAGGATTGTTATGAGGATTGTCATGAAGATTGTCATGAGGATTTGACGGAGGACAGTCTGAAGTTTGGAACAGTTTGTAATATCTACATTGTAACAAAATATGTCAAAGTTTTATCGATTATTTTCCAAGAAATATTAAACGTCAAAGATTCTTTAAACATCAAGATTTCTCGAGAGATAACTCGAGGAAATATAGAATTTATTCATTATCAAATATCAATATCTTACCCAATAGGCTGAACTTGACGAATCACCTTTGGAACATTCGTAGTTTTCATACTGAATTCTGCGAGGCACGCGACCAAATCTTTTCTTCCGATTCGTTTAAGATGATCGTTCAAAATCGGATATGTGTTCCTCGTAACCGTTCTCAATTGGCATATCCATTTCACGAGTCTTCGGAAACAGTTTTGATCTCGGGCTAATTTTTGTATCTGCGTTTCCGATAGCGGAGCTGTCGTAATAATATATCTTATTCTTCAAATTATTTTTTATCGAAATATTATTTTATATAAAAAGAAATTTGTTCATCGTTTATCGAACGTATATCGCTTCTCGATGTGATAAAGAATTTGATTAGAATGTGATTAGAATTTTATCATATTGGACATGGATATTATCTTTGACGTGACAATTGTATTTTTATCGTATCGAAAGTATATCATCTTGGAAATGAATCACGGTAGTAACTAATACTATGTAATTGTGCTACACGTATATTTATCTTATCATTTTAGAATAGTATTTTAATTTAATCATATTTAGAATCCAATAATAGATATAAATAAAACGATAATTTTAATTGTAAATCATGTATAAAGCATTGATGTTCAATAAATGTTAATATCGATACGTGTTGCTAGAAACATTTGTCAAATAATAATATGGTCTATTTAAAAAGACGTCATTTTTGTTAAATGAGAAATGATTTTAAATATCTCACGTGTATGTGATTCTGCATGGAAAATATTTTTTCAAAATTTTAAATAGGAAGAACAATAACATTTGTTCACTTACAATTAGAACCTAAGGATACAAGTTTCACACACTCTTCAGGCTTCAAATTTGACGCTAACAGCTGGAGTTCTGGTACATCAACCTCAGTAATGATCTTCACATAAATAAAAGATGGTAGATAATAATTTTTTTTTTTTTACAATTATTTAAGTTACTTATTTAAAATATTTTTGAGCGAGATTCTTATTTTGCCTGATCAATTTACATACATTTCATGAAATGAAGTATACCTGGAGGAAAGAAGGGATAAGGTAAAGTAAAAGAAGAATCAGTGCAATTTTTAATGCGTTTCTTAAGTTCATCGAGGTTTCCAAGGAATTAATACAATTCAATTACATTTTTTAATGATTCTTAATACTAGTTCCCTTAAATTAATGCATCATATTCTTCGAGTAAAGTAATACTGTCTGACTTTTATATTCAAATCAAATCTGTTAAATATCCTGTAATAAATACAATCGATCGATTAATGAAAGGTGGCAGAAATATAATAAGTGAATGGAAAAATTCAAACCTTATAAACAAAATTTCGTTTGGTACGCTATCCAACATAACCTATAACCTGATATTTGCTTAAAAAAAAAGTGACATAGAATAATCTTCAGTTCCTTAACTATACTACACGAGAAACGACACAGATGAAACAGAATATTTTAAAATATTTTCAATCGAGCAACTTCATCAATTTCATATTTCAAACTAATCCGTTTTGCAATAGTTATGTGTACAACGTGAATATAGTCTTTCACGTTATACGTGCAATTAAAAATAATTTGTCAAATAGATCAGGTTTTGAAATAATTCATTAAAATATTTATAATCGAGGAAAGATATAGTCGCTTGAGTAATCGATAGCATTAAAACGACTGTCGATTATGGATCTGTCAAAAATGTATTTTCTCGTCTGACAACAAAATGTAATTCACCGATTTATACGAATTTTACATGCCCATTTTAGAATGAAATTTGTATGCTCAATTTACATTTTATTTGTGATTTTTGCCGAAAACAAGGTGAGCCTTTACAAGAGAATCTATGATTGTTTAATCGTTTAATTTTACAAAATTTATTAAAAATCGTTATCATATCACATGGCGTAACGCGTTGACGACACACTGTGATAAGACAGTGTGAAGATAATCAAATGATTTTTTAACTGCACAATATCATGTTTGGCGCTCTTTGAGTTTTGAATCATACACCTCTTTAAGAAATTTCTTAGAATTTATTATATTTATTCTTTAACTTTAATTTCTGTTATCTCTACAATTCTAACTGTAACTTTTGCAATATTATCATTTCATATAAAATTTTTATAAATCATTTCAAAAAAGGATAAATATTATTGGAAAAATATCAATTTGAAATATTTTATATTATACCATTTTTTAAAAAGATGTTATATTGCAGAAATTACATAATATTATGTGTTTGAATTAATTTCATTTGAATTAATGTTTAAGGAAAAATTTTTCGTACAATGTATTGCCAATATAAAAGAGAACGAGCTCATGTATCTGTCGAATTTGTTAAACCCTGTAGAATGTTTGCAACTTGTACAAGCTATATACGAAGTAACTCCGATGAAAACGGAACGTAGGGTGAAAAAGTATGAAACTTTAATGAATAAAGATATCACTGGAATGTCGACATTGTCGAAAGAATGTCTTCTTAATCTTGAAGAATGGAGTCAAGATTTTCCAAGTAAAATAATTAAAATCAAAGATGTTTAGATAGGTGAACATATCTGTTGATTTATTTTTTATTATTATTAATCGTCTGCTATTATACTATATTCTTTGATTAATTAATTCTTAATTCTTTTTTTTTTTTTTTACATTAAGAATTAATCGAATTTTGAATTCTTCATGAAAAGCATATAATTTTTTCGTAGCAAATGCGAAACCAAATGGAAGGACAACGATGGAAATGATATTAAGATGGTTAGGACGACCAGATTTGGCAAAGTACGTGAGAGAAAATCACAGTTCGAGTATTGACTACTTCGATACAGAGAATTTAGCAGATACGTTAGAATGTCCAGGACACAGAATGTCGAAAAGGCATACCCCGGAGAAGGGTAAAAATGCACAAGCTCATAAAAAAAAGAAGAAGAAAAAGAAAAAGAAGAATAAAAAACAGAAAATTTCTAAAGTTTTAAAAAATAAAAAAGTTGGAAAAGCAGTTGCAGCAATGGGAGCACATGCTAAAGTGTAACAATTTTTCAATTTTGTCATGTTTTTTTTCTTTCTTTCTTTTCAGAATCATATTAATCACATATCAAATGAATGATTGTGTAAACGAGTAGCGATTTTTTGTTAATACTCAAGTCTATGTATAAATTAATATGATTATTATATAAAGTAATTTTTTTCAATGAAATAATTTTAAAGCAATAAATTTTATTTAAACTAGTCATATTTATTTATTTCAGTAATAAGAATCATCGTGAATTAAAAGAGAAAGATAATCGTCATTTAAGACAGCCTAATAATAATAATAATACCAACAACAACAACAACAACAACAACAACAACAACAACAACAACAACAACAACAACAACAACAACAACAACAACAACAACAACAACAACAACAATAACAACGACAACGACAACGACAACGACAACAACAATAACAACAACAACAACAACAACAACAATAATAATAAAAATAATAATAATAATAATAATAATAATAATAATAATGATGATGATGGTGGTGACGATGGTGGTGATGATGATGATGATGATGATGATGATGATGATGATGATGATGATGATGATGATGATGATGATGATAATGATAACAACAATAATAATAATAATAATTACATCGCACACACATCGATGTATTGTTCAATTTTGCTTATTCTATTCTTTATTACCATTTGCCTTGTCGCTGCCTACTACTTTTACAAGCGAAATAGTACGAAGACACGTGGTACGCGATTCAAGTAATTATCGTAGAGAAACTAAGCATAATCTGCCGATTTTTTTTAATAATGTATCTTTTTTTTTCTTTTTTCATTATCAAGTTGATAATTTTATAATGAGATTGCAATTTTTTATCAATTTCATTGCAACCAAATTTTATCATATATATATATATATATAAACGCAAGAGATAATAAAATTTGGTAAAAAAATATATATATATAATAATTGATTGAAAATCGCATAATCATGAAAAAATATTTAAAATTAATATTCTTTTGCACAAATTTGCAAAATTTATCTAATCCACGATATCGAATTAATTTCAAATATATCGCGATTTATTCTTAATTTTTTATTTTCAGTCATATTTTGCATATTTCTATTAATATTTTATCTGAATTATTTGTACGTTTCGAATTTAGGCATATGTGGCAACCTAAAGAGGACAAAGATACCTTCACCGATTATTTGGAATGGAAGGACGAAGTTATTTGTTCGTGTACGGATATGGAGGACTATTGCACGGGACAATGTTCAATATGTAAAGAAAATGATTATAAACATCACGTGATAGATCGTCGAAGTAGTAGCAGTGACGATTCTGTCAAAGAACTGAATTTTGTGGTGCGTAAACCGAAAAAGAAAGAAAAGAAAAGAAAACGATTCACCTTTTTCCAAAACTCTTGTCAAAATAAGAAGAAGGAAAAGGAACAGGAATATCGGGATAGGAAGTGCGTAAAAAGGAGGAATCTTGGTACGATAGAATTTAAAAATAAGCAGGATGCATCACGATCGTTTATGCTAATAATTTTATTTCAAATAACGTGATGCATCTTGTTGTAGAGTTATTAATAATATAATGGATTTTTTTTTCCGAATCAAGGAAAATTTTGGAGAATATGATCATGAAGAAACATGAACAACAAAAACTATTACCAATGCTTCCAAACGATGTATGTTGTAAATGTTGTAAATGTACTGTGTATATTAGAGGTATGATTATGATTACGATAGACGAGATTTGACTATCTTTAAATTTATGTTGTATTCGTTTTATGTGTATAAAACTTATGTGTATATAGATAAAATATTACGTGAAAAGAAAGCGAGAGAAAAGAAAGCGAGGAAAAAGAAGGAAGAAAAGAGAAGGAAAAAGGAAAAATTGCGAAAAGCGGAGCTACGTGCAAATAATGTATGTTTCAGAGAGACGTGTAAATAAACTATTGCTTGATTTACTACTTAATTGCTTTTATTACTATTTAAAATATTTGAAAGACTTAGAAAGGAGAAAATAAAATAATTATTAGATAAATATAAAAAAATATCAATATTCAATAAACTATAACAATAATAACAATTAAAGAGAACACGTAATATGATCGTAACTATATGTGATCTAATAATAATTAATAAGCTTTTTAACTCGATTATAGATACATGCGTTTTTGAAAATAATTTTTTCTTTCGTTTATTAACAAAAATTTGTTATATTATAAAATTTATTTATTTTTAATTGTAAAAAAATCTGTTATAAAATTGAAATATTTACATATAACTTATTAAATATATAATAACGAAAATCATAATTATAAATATCATGTTACAATTTTGATATTAAAATTATTTACAATAAAAATGAATGTTTATTAATATTAATCTGTATACTGCATATAGATATATATCTATGGAGTGTATTTCTTATCACAGTTGAAAATATTAATAAAATTACAAATTATTTATAAAAATATGCTTTAATATAAGTATGCTTAATTTAATAAATATAAAAAAATGTAAAATAGATATGTAATATAATTATTTAGATAACTTTAGAAGAATTGATTATTTTTCACATTAATTGTACAAAAAGAAATTATTTATATATTTCTACTTATTCAATCAAAATAAAATATCACAATGTATAGAAACATTAATAAAATAAAAAATAGTATTTGTACTATATTTTTGTGAAATAATTTATATAAATTATATAAATTTAATTCTGTCTATCATTTTTTTAATTATATGTCATAAAATCAGATAATAAATTTGGATGAAGAATAAAGATTATTATTTTAAATAAACTGTTTTTATCTAAATTATTTGAATTAAAAATTTTTAATTTTTTTATGTCATCAAAAGTTATTAATTTATGTTTAATTATTTTATTTATTTATATGAAAATATAATTTTTCAATTATGTATAAGTATATATTTTTTAGAAGAGATCTGATTAGCAGTCCTTTTTGTATTCAATAATTTAACTCAATTATACTTAAGTCATTAAAAAAATATATATAAAAAAAATAAGTTACAATAAAATTAATTATTCAATTTTTTCCGATAATAAACTATGAAAATAAAGTTAATAAATTATAACTATCAAATCGTCTTCTATTATAATGGACATATATGAAGTTATATTGTTATCTTATGTTAAACATATTTGATTTAACTAGACAATATCCTTTTAAAATTGTTTAATATATTAACTGTAATAATAAAAAATCATTGAACTATACTTTATACAACTGTCAAATCAAATGCAACTTCAATTTCAATCTTCTTTAAGGATCTTCGAATTGACCTTCCTCGTAATTAGATAACCAAACTAAAGTCCCGTTTTGTAACATCTTTAAAACTCGCGTCATAATTCGATCCTCATGGAAATCCGCAGGACGATATATTTGTTCAAATGGCTGATAAAATGTGAATGGCGGAAATGTCCGCCTTTTTGGTTCTTTATTTTCTGAAAACAAAAACATAACTATTTTGTCTAATCTTTAATGTCTATGACATTTATTTTAATAATTATAATTTAATAGATATATTTATTCAAATTATTATTCATATTTTTATATTAAATTATCATGTTCAAATTATTAAAAGAAATATTAATTATTTTTCATTTGTTCATGCTAATAAAACGAATTCGTGTTATATGAATGCCATATAGGAGAGATTATGAATATTTATGAGTATGTTGATTGTTATAAAGAAATGACTATTTTCAGTCAATTAATTAAATTCTGACTTATATAAATCTTAAATTTATGCATCTTTATTTTACCGTGAGGATCAAATTCGTCAGCCGAATCTTCCGAGCTATCCCAATGTTCATCAAATATTTCGTTATGAGATCCTTCTGGTCTAAAATAACATTATTTTATTAAAAATATTATACTTATTTAAAATCAATTTAATAATATATTGGAAAATTTAACATAATTTAATAATCTTCGTTGAAACTTTTGTTTTCTTGATTTTTAAAATTTTTAATACCAACTTACAATATGCATAAAAAACGTTCGTCCAATGAAGAGCTTGATGATGAAAAACTTTTTTCACTTCCAGTTGATGATTTCACTTTTGATCCACAAGGAGATTCATTGCCAAATATAGGATCCAACCAATAATGTCTCAAAGTATCTCTCATATCTTTATAATTAGGACACCTAGTGTACTATTGATTTGATTCATTAATATAGAACAACCATAATAATTTTTTAAAAATAAACAATGTTAATTATTAAACAATAAATCGTTTCTATGTATTACATAAAAAATTTAACAAGATAATCCTAAATAAAATTTGGCTTGTTTTTAATCTTGAAATCATATCTTTTGTACTTATGTCCTTACCCATAAACATTCAGTTGAAAAGTAATTTTGTTCGAAATCTAATCCTTTTAGATTTGGTAAATTCAATACTATTTCTGGTACTATTTCAAATTCATTGTTATATAGATCTATATATTTCAAGTTGTGCAATAATTTTATACTTTCAGGTAATTCATTTAAATAATTATGACGTAATTTTAATTCTTCTAGCAATGTCATTTGTCCAATATTTTCAGGAAGATTTGTCAAATGATTATTATTTATTATTAATCTACTCAAATTTTTTAAAGAACAAATTTCTTCTGGCAAGAAAAAGATATTATTGAAACCTAAATTTAGTTCAGATAGATTGGTAAATTTGTTTATTATTTCAGGTATGCTTGAAAGTCCCGTATTACATATGTCAATTGTTTTGAGACTAGATAAAATTTTCTTTGTATTAATAGGCATAGTTGTAAAAAAATTTTGATAACATACTTTTCCATTTCCAATTATTAGTTCTTCAAGATTTGTCATTCCAATAATTATGGTTTCAATATCTTCAGTACTAAGATTGCATTGTTTCATCAATAATTTTTTAACATAGGATATAGATGATTTCTTTGGCAAATTTAATGTTTGAAATCTTGTTTCATTCAGTGATACAGTTTCAAGTTTCTTATATCTGGAATTCAATATCCATTTTGGAAATGAAAGACAGACATTATTTTTTTCTGCATAAAATGTAGTTAAATTAGTACTCAGAGGATAAAAATCCAATTTTGAATTTATATTGCATGAAAATTCAAGAATTTGCAAATTTTTCATTCCTTTGGTTATACAATTTGGAATCAATTTAAATTTATTGTCATTAAGATAAAGAACTTCTAATTTATTTAATTTTGCACATGAATCTGGAAGATTTGTTAAATAATTTGAATTTAAAGATAAAACCTCTAAATTCAATAAATTTCCTAAATTATTAGGAAGTTGATTTAATTTATTCTGAGAAACATATAATTTTTTCAATTGATGTAATTCGCAAATTACATCTGATAAAAAAGATAAACAATTATTATTTAAATTTAAATATTGCAATTCTTTTAGCATGTTTAAAGAATTAGGAATATTATGAAGTTGACTATTGCATAAATTAAGATCAATAAGCTTTAAAACTGGTTTAGTAACAAAATATTCTATATAGGATTGTTTTTCTAATAAAAATAAATTTTCAATGATTCCTTTTTTGTCATATTTATAATATCTTTATCAGTTCCTTGTAGTAATAATATATTTAAATCATTTTCACACATTATATTATGTGCTGTTGCACTTAATAATGTGTTATTTGATAAACTTCTTGAATTCTGTTCCTTTGTCATATCTAAAAAATAATTTAAAATAATATAATTTAATAATATAATAATATTTAAATTGCATTTATGAAATATATATAAAATATAGTATCTATATTGAGGTTTTACATATCTGGAAATTGTGTTTTAATATTTTTCTAAATGAATTTTCAATAATTATATAAAAAAAAATTTTAATTTTAATATAAATATAATCTAATAAAAAAATCATTGTAATTCCTAATTATTTTTAAAATTCAAAATTTTATTCTTTATATTTATTGTTTTCAAAATAATTATCAATGTTTACCTCTATTAAAATTAAAATTTATTATAAAAAAAAATACTATATGCAAAAAAAGTATTAGATTAAAAATTGCATAAAAGTGACATCATCTAATAATAAATATATTGTATATCACATATTTATTACATGTAAATTCTACATGTAAGTTCTACCATGAACTATCTAGATAGGGAATAAATTTCTCATGCAATATTCTTTTTTATTACCGGAAATAGGGAATTATATGATCATTTTACATGTTACATTATCGATTCAGAATATAATTACAAAATATACACAAATAATAAAATTATTACAAACTAAAATTTTAAATCTAAAATCTCAATTGTATTCAAAACAACGTGAATACATGATTATTATATTAATATTATATTAATTATAATAATATTATATTATTTATATTTATTCTTTATACAATTCTTTATATATATTTTTTATATTTTTTAAACAGTAATACTTATAACACTAATTTATTTTTTAATATTATTATAATATTATTTTATATTAATGTTGTCTTTATGAAATTTACGATATGATTCAAGATAGTCGCAATATGATATTATGATAATACGTTTGGAAAAAAAAGAACGTATTTTTTCAGAAAATAAAAAAAAATGCTATTTTTCTGAAAGTAGAAATTATTAGCATATTTCGATTTTTCTTAATGAAATATTTTAACAAAAATGGCTGACAAATAAAAAACATGTTATCATGTTTTTTAAGAAAAAAAGTGCTATTTTTAGAATAAATTAGTGCAAATGAAATTAGTTTATAGAGAAAAAGAACAAAAATACAGAATAGTATAAATATTAAGGAATTAGCACCATTTTTAAAGTACCGTAAATAAAATTAAATATAAACAAGAAAAACAAATAATATAAAAAAAATAGAGATGCTAATTCCTAATGTAACTTTATCCTCCTTATATTATTTATTTTCTTTATTTTTATTAGTTTATATTAGTTTCATTTAAACATTTCAGAG